TGGTTCCAGCGCATGGAGCACGTGCGCAAGTACGCGTTCGGCGTCGCGCTGATCATCGGGGAGGAGAAGCGACACGACATTGTGGCGCTGTGGGTGTTCCGCGGCAAGGGCATGCCGGAGGTTGTGGCGGCGGTGGAGGACACGGAGCTGTTCGACTGGGAGGAGGTGGCCGACGTCGTGGCGCAGCGGGAGCGCATCACGGACTACCTGTGCTGGGAGGGCCCGACGATCCCGAAGCCCGTGCTGGAGGGGCGCGTGTTCAAGTGAGCGTGCGGGTGCGTGCACGTGTGCGTCTAGGTAGGTGGGATAACACTAACATTAACTGTGAGGGTGTAAGGGAAGGGGACGGAGGCGCGGAGTGGCCATGTGTTTGTTTTGTTTGTTTGTTTTCTGCTGCGCCTGCCTCCTTGTGGTGGTGGGGCGGGGGGTGCGCCGCTCCCATCGCGGAAGGGGGACGGGGAGGTGTCTGCGGTGTGACTTGTTTTTCTCTCCCAGTAGTTTGATGCTCTTCTGGGGCTCTAGATGGTTCTTTTTGTTTCTTGCCGCTCTCATGTGTATTGTGCGTAGAACTATTCTCCCTGTTCTCCACACAAGCAGAAGTATAAAAGGGATTTGGTGGTATTTTGGGAATAACAGTCGTCATAAATAACGCGTCTCGGTAAGGGTGTTAACGGATATACTCTGCGAGGCCATTGGTATCGTCTGCTCGAACAGGGGCAACGGAAGGGAGAAGAATTAGCGGAACGTGTTGAGGATGGTAGCGCCGAAGCTTTTTCTCGCGGTGGCGGCAGGAACTGCTGTTGGGGCGGCCGTAGTTTATGTGGTGATGAGTCGCAGGCGAGTGGGTGCGGGCGAGGAGGATGACGACGCCTTCGGTGGACCCATCGTCGCGGATGGAGGTGCAGCCACTACAGGGAAGGTGGCCAACGCTTCAGCGGAAGTTGACGCCGTCGGTTCCACCGCAAGCAAAGGTTCCACCTTCCGCTCTCTGCTTGCAACGAATGGAGTGGATGTGGGGTCGGTGGAAAACAAGCTGCTAGCCGAAGCGCTGAATGAGATTGATGTGCAAGCTGCAGTTGACCAGAGGCCGGCGCAGGCGACCGGCACGAAGAGCTCTGGTGCGCTCAAAGGTGGTGAGAAGGAGAAGGATTTTCCGCTACTTGGCTTGTCAATGACGCTGCCTCCCGACTGGGAAGTACGCGAGGATCTTTCCCCGTTCCCCAACGTGGCGATGCTGGCGGTGTTTAATAAAGACATGGATCCGCAGAATGCACAGCAGCAGCAGGAGGCTGGGTCGGTGCCGATGATTGTGATGTCCGTTGAGGACGTTCGTGGGGACAACGTGGATTTACTTGAATTTAAGGAGCGCTGCAAGGAGTTGGCGGTGAATCAAATGCTCATGATGACCGGTGGGGCGATTCAGCCTCTCATCTCGAAGGACACCACTGTACTGGAGGGCCCATTCCGCTATGCGCTGGAGTACGCACAGAGTCTTCCACCTTTGTACGAAATCAAGGTTTTGAATTTAATGGAGGTGCGAAACAGCATCGCGTACACGTTTCAGATTATGTGTGCGCCTAATATCATGCCGAAATTCAAGCCGGTGTTTATGAAGATAGCGCAGGGCATGCGCATTAAGGAAAACATTGACACCGCCTTGGGGTACGTGAAGCTGCACACGGGTACGGTGAAGGTGGATATTGACACCAGCTGGGGTTGGGAGTATCCAGGGAAGCACGGCGCGCTTGTTACTTTTACAACGACGTCCACCTTTAAAAAGGAGGAAATCAGCCTCTATGCGCAGGACGCTGTCCCCAAGTCGGCATATATCCCACGCGAGAAGAAGACGATTGATGGCGTTGTCGTTGTCTCCGCGTACGATGGTGCACAGCAGCAGAAGACGTTCACATGCAATGGCTATACGCTGGTTGCGAAGCCGCTGCAAAAGACCTTTTCCTGCCTCGCTGAAAAGGATCTCGTGGCTGTCGTGAAGTCGGTCGCGCCTTCAATGCTGCCACCCAGGCCCAAGAAAGGTGGCACCTTCGTGAATGCCGTGCATGGCTATCAGGTGGACATTGCAGGCGGTAGTCGCCTTGTGGCGAGCCGCATTGGTGGAGGCTCCGTCGCGTACGCCCCAGCCACCACCGATGTAGCGGCGTCCGACGAACAGCCACCCGCTGTCACAATTCGCGTGGGCAGCCCCAAGAACGACCCCGACTGCATGGGCTCTCTGGAAGAGTGGATGGAGCGGATGAAGCGGGAGGCTGCGGAGGGCGGCATTAGGGATATCAAGCGAACGACGATCAACGGTGAGCCCTGCCTGACGTTTACCTCGCAAAACATGGAGGAGGTTGCGCCAGGACAGCGCATGGAGGTGTATGGGAAGGTTTTCATATTTGTTCGCGATGGCAAGACGACGCTGCTGCGGTGGGAGATGGCGACAGGACTCTGGAGGAAGTTTGAGCGCGAGATGAACGCCTTTGTGGAGTCCCTGCAGTTCATTTGATGCGAACTGCCTTCATTTCGCCCCCGTAACGCCGATGGACCCCGGCCGCGGTCAGTACGCACGTCTGAGTGGAACGGAGGGGTACGAAAAAGGCGAATACGAAACAAGCAACAATTTACTTGAGAAATAATGAAAGAAAAATATTTAAGCATAAAACGGGAGTGCAGCACGGAGGGTGCAATGCCGAGCGGAACGAGGCTAAAGAACAGTAATGGCAGAAAGATAAAAAGAAAAAACTGTTTTTTATCCGTCTGCCATTGCCGTTGTTACATATACCAGGAGGAGGCGCAGAGAAGTCACGGCATGGTGGTGGGTGTTTCTTGGGAAATAGAAATCTCAGCGGGTGGGAGGGTACTGGAAGCGCGAGGTGTGAGGGTGGGAGTAGGCAACAACACAGAGAGAAGAGACAGGAACGAGGAGTAGAAGTTTTGTGTGTTTGGTGGGGAGGGGGGCTTTCTCCCCTTTTTTTTTTTTCATGTTCGCAGGAGGAATGATTTTGGACCCCGCTACTGCTGTGGCCTTCCACGTCGCGCTCGCCTCACCAGCTGCTGCGCCTTCCTTAGAGCGCACTCGCGTGCCATGTGGCTTCTGTAAGATACAATAAAATCAATAAGGCAAAGGAAACAAGGCAGGGAAGGATTGGGTATTGGGCGGCAGCGTGCCGTGGGTAAAGTAAGGGTGGGAAGAGCTGTGGGCGCACGCCGCTGCACCGTTGGAGGGGCGTCACTCGCCAACCATTAAACGGTGAAGCCGCACGCTCTTACACGCAAGGTGTGAGTTGAGACGGCTGTAGGAAACAAAACAAAGAGGGGAAAAGGAGGAAAATAAACATGCTGAAGCGGAAACATTTAAGTGAATTGGGTGGGGTTGGTTGACGGAGAATTGGTTATTTCGCAGAGGCTTTTGTAGGAAACTTTTAACGCGCGCTTGCCACTGGAGAGAAAACACATGAGAGAACGACACCAGAGACAATAAGAAAAGGGCGGGATGGAAGTGTGCTGTGTCTCATTCATTGAGTTATTTATTTCTCTCTCGGTGCGCTACTGTTGTTAAAGGCCCGTTCCTCTCGCAGGAACACTTTTTTTTTTTTCTCTCTCTATGCCTGTCTTTCTGTCTGTCTGTCCGTATGTAACTTTCTCCCCCGTTCTGTGGCGGGAGAGCCGCTGGTGCGAGTGGGACATGCACCGAAGCAAGCCCGTGGCGATCGCACTGGATAGTGAGTTCCTTAAGTCACACGGCCGTGTGCTGACGAGAGCCGTGGCTTTTGTCCCGTTCTCATTCACAAAAGACGCAGCTTATGAGTCGCAGGCCGATGCTCGCGCAGCGGTGCCACGCGCGCCTCTTCTTTCTTCCCCGCAACCACCGCCGGGGCCGAGGCAGCAGACGCTTCGGCGATCAACAATTTTTGGAATTCCCATCATTTTGAGTCTCATTCCGGCGGAGGTGATGCGCCGCGCGGATGTTCTTCCCTGCGGCCACTCCCTCGAGGCGGAGCTGCGCACGGCGTTGGCGCATGGCGAACGACTCCGGACCATTCAAGAGCGACACGAACGCTCCAGCGCCGAGGCCGTTTCAGAGATGGCGGGGGCGTTCAACTCGTTCTGCCCCTACAGTATTCCCAACATTCGACGGGGGGATGTCTCGTGGTTTGAGGCTCTCTACTCTGCTGCCGTCCACTCTGCGGATTTTCGCGAGGCGGCCCGGCGTTTGGATCACCTCAAAGCCTATGGGAAAGGAAGACGTCAGGAACGCTCCTTGTCCTTTTTGCTGCGACAACACCCAACGCTGCTGCAGGAGGTGTTGCGAGAATCGTTTTCGTCCGCCGATGCGTGGTGTGCGTGGCTGAAAATGTGTGGGGATTTGGTGGAGCGGGAGCTGCATCGTGTGGCGGAGGAGTGCCGCCATCTGTCTGCGCCCCCCGCCTCACCCTTCACCCCGTCTGTGGAGATGGAAAGCGACCCCAGCCGCGGCGGGGTGCAGTATAAAGAATGCGGAAGCCTGGAAGAGTTATCGTATGAGCTGAGCCGTCTGTGGTGTTCTTTGCGGCGCCGAGGAGGCGGTGGTGGCGACATGAAGTTCTACGCCTATGGCGACATGGACGCTAAAGCCATACAAAACACGCTGCGACTCGGGTGCTGTATGCAGACGCGGTGCTCGGCCCCGGCGCTTCAAAGAGGCCCCCCGTCTGCGCCACCGCCTTTGCGCCACAATGCGGGCCAGCTTCTCGCCTCGCCCTATGAGGCTAGGGTGGTAGACGTCACGCGGCACACGCTCTTCGCAGCCTCCGGGTTTCGTGTGTCGCCTAGGACGATCCCGCGGTTGGGCGACGCCCTGGAAAAGGCCGCTGCTGTTGATGGGGCCGCCGCGCGCCTCCGCTCGCAGAGCGATCCCCACAACCCCGTTTGGGACGCAAAGGCTCTTGCGTGCGTAACCGTTGCCTCAGGAATTTGTCTGGGGTGACGTCGCGCCCCCCTCTTGGCCACGCTGCTGGGCG